CCTGCTTTTACCAATCGTAATACTAAGGTAAAGGTTCAATATCAATATGGATTAAGAAAGCACAATAATTAAAAACACCTCATTTATATACAAAAGAAGGCCATTTTGATCAAGAAGTAAGAACCAGTTAGTAGTAGTTAATAAGTTAACTGAAGTTCGTGATCAAGACTACGCTTCAGCCACCAAAATAAAATACCAGTCTAAAGCCTTAGTCACTGCTTGAATTGTCCTCACTCTATATTCTTTTGTTTTCAGTCTCAAATCTCCTAAAGGGAGGGACGGGAGGAGGGGTCCAAAATCATGAGTCACTCTGCTATCTGGTCTTTATAGTTTGAGCATACTGTGAAACTTCAGTTTTTATAATCTCACTTCAATAAATGTTATTTTAGCACATCTCTGTTGTAGTGTTGTTGCTGTTAATGAATTAATATTATCATGTGGTCTTATACTAGTTCTGATTTAGGGTCGGTATTGATAAGTATATTGGATTTTTTTTTGATAACGCTACTCTAGGATGGGTCAAAAGCAGAGAGCACTGGGCCTTTAGTTGATTAAATGGTCAATAGTGTCTTAATTTGTATTACCTGACTAATCATTTATTTATTTAGATTAAGAGGATTTATATTAGCCTGATTCATCAGCAGGTTTCACTTCGTAGAAACTGTCTGACCTCGCAGCGTTAGAATTCATTCGCTCAACGGTAGACAAATCCGTGTATCATTTGTTTTCTCAATATAAAAGCAGAAATAAGAAAACTGAATAAACAACTGTTTTCTTCATTATTTGTCTCCAAAACCAAAATGAAAAAAACAGATAACGATTTGGGTTTTTTTCAGTTTTCGATTTTGTATTTAAATGAATAATGGAAAAAAACGGATAACGGCCGTTTCCCGTTTACGTGACTTAAACTGTGATGCTGAACTTTTGCACCATATATGAACTGAACCAGGACTAAACTAGGTCCGGGACCAGACTGGAACCAGATTGGGCCTGAGACTGGGACTGAGACTGAGACCAGACCAGAAATGAGAACAGGACTGAGACCGGGAACAGGACTGAGACCGGGACCAGACCGGGACCAGACAGGGATTGAGACCTTGACCAGACCAGGACTGAGACTGGGACCAGACCAGGACTGAAAACAGTTTAGTCCTGGTTTAGTCTTGTTTTAGTCATGGTTTACTGGTATATTAAGCTTTTCCCAAATCCTGTAGGAAAAAGGGAAATAAAATTATTGTGTATTATTTGTGTTGTACTTTTTTTTTTTTTTTTTTTGCATAATAGTTGTTTTTATGTAGTCTTATGAGTACAGTTGGGGTCATATAGGACGTGTCATTAGTAGAGTTATCATAAGTATAAAAAATCAGACACTAGTCAATATTACTAATACTGAAACTAGATATTAATTTGATCAAGTATCGATACTGCAAAAAATCACCTTAACAGGACAACGTTTTAGCTTTCCTAAATAGTTTTTGTGTAATTTTGAGATTTATCAGAACTAGTGTAAGATCGCATAGTAGCATAAAGAAAGTACTATTATTTTGTGTATCAAAATAAAAATGTGATTATTAAAAAAGGAACATGTTTTAGATTCATTGTCGTAGCATAATCAGTATCAAGTACTGAGTCGATTCCTTAGGATGGAAATCAAGTTTTACTGTTTTGTATCGCGATAACTCTAGTCCTTTCTTTAGGTGACAGCTACGCTATAGAGAAAACTTCTGTACGAAAAATCTATCCATCTACCCCCTTCTGCTGGTGCATCGGGTACTTATCCATTTTACACTTGACTGGAGGCACATGGAGCTCTTATTTTCAGCCACCTCCCAGCCTGCTCCGTGTCTGCAGCAGTTGCCTATGAGAATACTGAGTGTGTAATGACCCTGGAGAGCCCTGCGCTGAAGAAGAGAGCAGACGCGCGGAGGTCAAAGCTTTACAATGTTAATCAATGTTTAAATGTGACAGTCAGAAGCAGCCTGCTCTTCCTCTAAAACTATCCACTCCACTTCACTGACCAACCAGGAAAAGGCAATGTTACGCTCTTCTGCACACGTCCTCTCCCGGGCGGCTAACCCTGAGCTGAAAAATGGTCAGAAAGTTAGTTAGAGGTCTTATTTTGGGACTTATGAAGTAAATGTGAACATGAAAACACAATTAATCAATTCTATAGTATGGATCAAAACAGTTACATGATAGACTACTAGTACTATCCACTCAGATTTGGTAACAAACTTGGAGTAAAACACACTTTGGGGTCTTAATTTTTTTCTTTTTACACTATAAGAACAGAATTATACCAGAATTAGAACCAAACCAAGTCACACCAGGGTTAAACTGGGCTAGCCTGAATCATCAGCCGGTTTCACTTCGTTTCACTTCGTAAAAACCATCTGACCTTTCAGTGTTAGAATTCATTCCCTTGACAGTAGGTGGGTACTTTTTATCATTTAGCCAATCGCTGCTATTTGGTCATGACATATGTAATGTGCCACTAACGGGGCTAACTGGTATTTTAAGCTTTTCCCAAATCCCATAGGAAGAAGGACAATAATGTCTTTCCCCTTGATAAAATTCACCAAACATTCTCTTTGTTCTGGCTTTAAATCCTCGATCTCGGGAATCGTTGACAACACAGAATATATGGCTCTTCGCTGATTGGCTGGTGCCCGGACTTGCACTTCTGGGGTTTTTGTGAAACGTGTATTGTATTTTGATTCCTGACCTAGTTGCTGGAAAGAAATGAAATTGAGCGGAGGCACTAGGTGGTGCCAGCCTGGCTAAAACTGGGCTTCAACCAGGACCAATCAGAACTAATTGTTTTCTTCAGATTTTACTGGATGCCATAATAACTCAATCTCTCTGTATCCATTATGTTGTAGAGTAATTTCAGAAATATTCAATATAATCATTGCTGAACTGCAGAACATTTTGCACAAAGCAAATATATAAACACAAAATCTGAAAACAACTGAACTTACTGTAACTGTGCTGTTCCTTGAAGCTAAGCCATTACAAGCCCCCCCAGGATGTTCAGGCTGAAACATACTCATGCATACCAGAGGCAGCATAGTGAGAAAATGTTTTATGAATATTTTATTATATTTTAGAGGCCATACTGCACTCCATGTCCTAATACCATTACTATCCTACGATAAGGTCTAGTATCTGGAATCAGTTACCGTGAAAGTGCTTGGAAAGGGAATCATTTATAAAAGACTCCTGCCTTGGTGTACCAGCAGTGATAGAAAGAGTACTGGAAATTTTTCATTTTATGTGGCTAGAAATGTACGCAATTACAAGTACAAGTACTGCTTCCAGAATTGTACCTAAAAAGTACAGATGAAAAATACTACACTACTATTTACTGGTTACTAGCTACAATTTAACAGATTTTAGCAGCATTTTAGATCACTATTCTATATAAATTAAACAGTTCAAAGTTGAATTTAATAATTTTAAACCATAATCTGCATTTTCCCTGAGCTCTGGTCAATCAAAGCAGGCGATGCAGAGCTCTTATATATTTTTGTTGGTTTAGAAAGGAAAAGATACAGTGGCGAGACAGCCGTGAATCAAGGTGATTTGGAGTGGATTTGGCAGTAATCAGTACTCATATGATTTTAAATGCAACTAATATACTCAATTACACATACAAGTAACTAAGTATAATCTATTCCATAATTACTGTGACTGTGACTATTTTTAATTTGTTACCTTCCACACAAGTGTATCAGGAAGTACAGCTATACAACTATAGATAGATTCAAGTGATTGTTATTTCAAAAATATATAATAAATATATAATAAATACTATAAATACTATACTGCAATTCTATCTTATTTTATTTATTTAATGAGACAGAGACAGTGCACAACATTACATTAACCTTAACAGGAGAGATGCATTGTACCAGGTTGTAACACCAGTGCTAATTTCTACCTGTAGTCCCTGGGTAAGTTCATTGATTGTATTTAATTGACCTTGTTCTTCCTGGAGACCTATGTAGCATGTTTTGGATTGGGTTTGGGTTGGATCTCACACCATGATAAATACACACAGAAAACCCTAATAACTAATAACTATTGCAAATGAAATTACATTAAAAGTATATTTTTACCTGAATACAGCCAGTCATCTTCATTATCTTTAAGGTCACTTTCTTCGATGTAGATATGGCCATACTCTTTGATCCAGTTCATCCATTGTTCATTTGTACTACTGCAGTTTTCGAACTCAAAACCACAATCTCCTGACGTTTCCTCAGTCGCCTTTGTCTTATTTTGTGGCTCAGGAGTTGATGAATTTGGGGTCAGAAGAGGGGAAAAAATCGGAGATGGAGATGTTGAATAACTATTTGAGTCACTGTAGCATGAATTTACAGGTAGATACTGTGGCCTTCTTATAGCCTTGATTTGTTGGTAACTGTTCTTCGATACGTTTCCTTCGTCCATCTTTAAGGCTTGTTGCAAACTTTGAGTCTTTGGCCCTTCTCCCACTGCATGAAGCTCCATGATTTGCAATTGTCTATTACTATTATCATTCAAATTTGTGTCCTTGTAGGTACATTTTGGTGCAGTTTTGAGTATTTTTGGTTTAAATTCACTAGTCTCTTTAGTCAGTTCAGAACTGGAAAGGTTTACCCGGCGTATAATTCTTTCCAATTCTTCAATTTGACCCAAAATTCCAAGTGTTGACATCTCCTTTACAGATGCCTCCAGTAATGATAAAGATCTCTGGTTAACCTTTTGGCTACCAAGAGGATTTTTGGTGTTTTTTGCATTATATAATATTTTATTTACATATCTAGAATAATCCGAATCCATCATTTCATCATTATTACTTTCCACAGTTGACAGTGAACTTGGTTGATTCACTCCTTTTGATGCCAAATCTTCAAAATGATTCCCAGTACTTCTTGTTTTCTTGGTTACTGGAGTCCTTTTTTTCGAGATATGTTCTTTTTCTTCTTCTAAGTAGTTCGTAGTCCAATGTTTACTCTGTTTTCTTACTTTGAGTGGATTCGACAACGCCATTTTGACATGAAAACTGTTCAATCCGTCTCTATCCTTCGCTCTCCGTCTTTTCTTAAATATTTGCGATGTAAATGGCTCATGTTCTGCTAATTTCTTGTTCTTGATCTTGTTCCCCTGCTGGTTTCCCATGTTTGGTATCAGCCCAGAAAGCCAGTCGGTCTCTGAAAAGTCATCTTTACGATCACTGAGGGTTGCTTTGTCGTGTTTTAGCCCCTTCTCTCTGCAGCTAAAGGTCCATCCCAGACTGGACATCTTCAGTGGTGCTTTGAAGTGGGAGGTGGGGTCCCTGCTGAGTGAGAAAGACACACTGCTCCTCTCCCTGATAGGCGTGTAGAGGTGTAAGGTACTGTGTTTGCTCTCCATCGTCATCCTAAACTGAAAAGAAAAAAGAAAATTGACATGCTGTACTTTAACTTATTGCATAGAATAGATGGGTCAATAAATAAATAAAATCTATACATGTTCTACCATTAAAAGTAAAGTTATTTGAGCTACACTGACTTAACACGATGAACTATAATAGATCATTTCTATTCTTCTTACTTCATCATGCACTCCTCACATTGTATGGATGTTAAATATTATATAACCTAGATATTACATTATAAGACCTAAGTATGCTAACACCAGGCCGTCCATTCTTTCATTTCATTTCATCAATTGTTTCATTCATGAAAGATGAATACAAAATAATTATGTTCATATATCAATGTGAATGAAAAGGAGCAGAAAGTACAGACTTGTAATATCTGCGCCCTTTTCACACTAAGTAAAACAGTTCCAGCCACATTTATAAGCAATTTATTTACGTGACATACATAATATTAACTACTTTAACTACTTTTTTAAACACCTGAATAGATTTTAAAGCATTGATTTTTCTCATTTAGACTGTTCCATAAGCTCACACGTTTGATTGAAACACTTTTTTCCATTGTTGTTGTTCTGAACCTGTTTTCTTTTTTTTTCTTTTTTTTTAAGATTTCAATTCCTTACAGATTATAATGACTTTCTCTGTTTGTAAATTTTCTTTGGAGATTTGGTGATTTGCTTTATACATCATTTTTATTTCAGTATCTTTAATTATATAAATATTGGGTTTGTTGAGTCTCTGTATCCACTTTCTTAACACACCCAATATGTATCTATAAGTAAACAACATTTTATAATTAGACTTCAGTTGTTTATTTTATTATTTATTATTATTTTAGTAGTCCACCCATCAACCTCATCAAAACCACCTGTAGACTAGTAACAAGGGAATAAATAAAATATACTGCTGTTGACATATCGTTGCCATATCTATATATTTTTTTAGATAGATAAAAACAACAAACAAGTCTATATTACACACATTTTACGCTGTTTAAGTTTAGTTTTGCGTGATAAAATCAAACTTACTTGTGGAAGAGTTGTTGGACAGGCTGCATGTCACTTTTCTGCAGCTTTTGCTCCACCGCAGATGATACAAAAGTCAACGTCCCTCCCCCTGCACTGACTGACAGCCCTTTAACCAATCACAGGTCACCTTTAAGACTCCTGCGTTTCTCATTTGATAAAACCACAGACATCACTGGTACTAACCCGTAGGTGAAGGCAGGGGAGCCCAGATGGCGGGATTATTAGAGTTAGTGTAATCTACTTGACTCTAATCAATCTGGAGTCAGAGAGCTAACAAATGTTACTGGAAATTGCAAAGGATGTGTTTTACGCACAGGTGTTACTGGAAAAAATAACCTGTATGACAATAAAAAAGTTAAGGGCCACCCCAAACTGATGCTGTTATTAGAATTTAGGATATAATTTAAGATATTTGAAAACATAAACTGGGACATGTGTTACATACAGTAGCCATAAAACTAAACTAAACTGTAAACACCTCCATTATTACGTCCCCAACCTTTTCCATGAATACATTGCACATGATTGAACACAAACCAGGATTATAAACGACGTCTGCCCGCCGTCTTTCGCACGCACGCCACTAAAGACAACAGTGCAGTGCTCCACGCTGAGCCACACATGGTTCGTGCGTAAACACAAACCTGACCATCTGGAAAGATGTCTGTCACTGGGCTACAGAATAAGAAGAATAAGCTCATGTGTCATAGATACCACAACAACAGATCTGTCTACATGCGTCAAAAGGATAATCTGCATTTAGAGAAGTTACGAGGTAGACACAATCGTGAGTACTCGCGTTCGCAGTCCTTGAACTTTGCAGTCTTCGAAATGAATCCAGGATGTCATTGCACAAACACGGAGGAGCCTCGAAGAACTGAATGAATAACAGAATGAAAACATACATAAATATTTATGAACAGTTAAAACGACTTTCTCTCGAGTCCATCGATAGCCTTCTCCTTATCACTTATCAATTGCTTTGCAGTTCAACAAGTGACCACTAGATGTCTGTAATGTATACAAAACTAGATTTTCTTCAGTAAAACCCTGCTACATCCTTGCATATCACAAAATAAATATTATTAACATTACATAATTGGCGCCAGTTTGGATCTTGGAAAGTTATGTTTCATCTTATTATCATTATAATTTCAACTTAAAGGAGTTGTTCCAGTAGCCCTCTAGTAGCCCATGTTTGCCTCAGGCAAAAGCAGCAGTAAGATCAGAGACAGTCACTGGAAGTCTAAATGAACTGTACAAGCCACAAATGTACTTTTAATTATACGTAGCTTTGAACCAAATAGTAATTGGCAAAATGAACAATGAAGGACAAGCAGCATGAAATAGTAAACATGGAGTTTATAGACTATTTCAGCTTCACAGTGTTCATTCATAACTTTGCAGCGTGAGACTTCAGTTTAGACAGCCTCCAGCCATGCGTCATTGGCACTAAGGACTTCCATGCATTCTTCCTCTCGCAGGACGCGGCACCGCGCTGCATCCCCAGTCTCTGTCACCAAAGACCGGTACGGTGTCGGTCTGTTCATCCGCCTGCTCTGCACTGCTGCTGGGGTCTCAGACTGAGTGAAAAGGCGGGGGGCAAAGAGGGGGGTCTGTCGGAGGAGAGCAGCCGAGAAGGGAGGAGGGGTGTAGGGGGGCTCGCCGGGCTGCCCTATATGGCTGTGGATGAGCTCTATGCTAATATCGGCTTGAGAGGCACAGCATCGCGTTTCTGCCGCCAGTCAGTGGTGGCTTGCAGAGTCTGAGCAGGCTCCTTCACAGCCATGGCTGAGGGCGGAGAAGGGGAAGATGAGATCCAGTTCTTGAGAACAGTAAGTAAAGCTCGTGTCATGGGGCTGGGGCTGTCCTGTAGTGGTGCCATTTCCCAGTCGCCAATTTACGCACGGAGGGAACGAGCTTGCACGCCGGCAATTTCGTTCAGTGATCTGACTGTCATGACTGCGGAAGTTTGGATAAATTGCCCAGTTAGACTTGGATTTGCACGGTTGGAAATTGCGCTCCAGTTGCGGCAGGTCTTGGACTATGGCACACACCTGTCAGCAGGGCTCTCGCGCCGTGGAGAATGTCAATGAGAGCTGTTGCAGGTGCAAGGGCAAAATGATTTAAGGTCCGCATTCCAAGCCATTTGAAGTATCACAGCCTAATCTACGTGTTACACTAATCACACAAAGTCGTGTTAAATCAGGCGCAGCTATTTTATTTAGATGGATGTTTTCCTTTTGGCTTTAAGAGTTCTAATAAGTTGTTGCTCGCACTCAGGCTTACCCCCTGCGATTACTATTTTAGTTGTTTGACGCAGATTGCTTACGGAGCCCTGCTCTATGTGGATATGCACAGCAGTTATACTTGTAAATGATATGACAGCTTGTATGTTGGTGTGGTGGGAATATTTTTTGGCTTGGCCATGGGCACGTATGGCTCATAGTTGCCTAGGTGTTGCATTGAGGGCACTGGGGGCAGTGATTGGGATTGCCATAGGCTTTGTCTCTGAAGCATTCATTGTATGTATGTACTGTATGTATGTATATAGATCTCTATATAGCCACAATTCTGTCCTCAAACGCCTCGATCTCAAGCGCACAATATGGCTATAATACATTGTAAATGTTATATTTATACCAATTCCCTCCACCATTGACAAGGATGCTTGGATAAAGTTATCACGTTCACATCCATCAGGTTGACAAGTACAGCATACATTTTCCAAAACAGCTCACACATTCTACACCCTTTTCTCTCCAGAAAGCAAGTTCATTTGAATCATTTGTCTAGCATAAAATAGTACCTTGTATTTGTTGTTCTGAATTGTACATAATAAAGCACATTATGCAAAGATGTATTCTACAAAGCCTGTATGGGTTCTGTATGGTTCATTTAGGATTGTCAAGATATAGTTTCAGGTTTTGAAATCTCATCAGATGACTTTGGATCTATAATCTATAAAGAGGAAATTCAAAGGTTGGCCTGATCCTGATAACCTTATGTTTCATCCAAGATGCCCTTTCAGAATGCAGTGCAGCCCATTTCATCTATAAGCACTGTATAAGTAAACTGGTATTTGTTTTCTATTGTCAAAGTACTTTGTATATCTGAACTATACCACACTGGAGTCATTATTTTAAAGCAGTAGTAGTTCAAATGCTTTCATTTCAGATTAATTGCTTAGAGGTTGGGCATACTGAACAGACAATTTATTACCAACAAGAGTTACAGTGATACTGTACATGCATATGTGATTTGTATGGAGAAAGCAATATATCTAGCCTTCATTAGTTTTCTCTTACATCTGTGCATACAGTATCAGAGCCATTGGGGAAATGTAAACAATACTGATTGTATTAAAAGATTGTCAGTGCCAAGTTTTAAATCTATTTACAGCAGCAGAGCGGATGCAGTATTCGGGTTCAATGACCACTTGAGTGTATCCTGACTTTGTGTCCCTGGCCAAGACACTGTGTTATGTGCTAAGCTACCAGACACTGGAATTTCTCCTGAGGGGGATCTTTAAGTAGTTATCTATGTCTTTATCTACCCATAATGCTGTCTACAGTCTACATTCTGCTTAAAAGCTCAATTTCACAGGGTCAATGGCTTGCTTTGACAAAGAAGATCAAATAAAAGACTAAATGGAAAACATTAGATCAGAGGAATTACAGTTGGATTGAAGCGGATCACCAGTGACAGCTGAAGTAACTCTTCTGAGCAAGTGAGCACTGAGTTTGTCTAATATAGCTAAGCTTAAAGGTTAGAGGCAGTTTAACAAGTAGAGATGGTTCCATATGGAAGGCATTTTTCCACCAATACCTACATCTTTCTGTTGTTGCCAATAACTGACATTTGCCTTTAACAATACTGTAAGATCAATGGTATCTATGATTATTGTATACACATACAATCACATAACTTCACTGCGCTTTTAGTTAACAGAGATTAAGACA